AAAAAGCAAAACAGACCAGTAATGAGTAATTCAATACACATGCATGGCTGAAAAAAACCAAGAATGTGTTTAATTCAACAGAAATGATCATCTAATAATTTAAACAAAACTAATTTCAGCAAAATAAAGGGGGTGATTTCATATCATACTATGCTATCATGTCCATCTAACCGGTTCTGCAGAAATGCTTTAGAATAGGCTGTTTTCCAAGGAGGTTGTAGTATGTGAGGAAAATACAATGTTCTATTCTGTTCTATAGCAATATCTCACCAGGTTGTAGACAGCACCACTCCATGGTAGAGAGGAGGTCCTGCATCATATTACTCAAAACTGAGCAAAACAGGTTGCTGCCAGATCCCTGGGGCCCGTCAATTGGTTTGAGGTAATCTGATTAATTTTTAAATTTTCTTTTGGTACATGCACTATTATATCAGCTAAAATTGTATGTGCCCAAAGGCAAGCCCTGCCCAAAATCAAGACCTCGGATTGTAGTTCAACCTGGGTGTCAAAATCTGGTTCTTAGCTAACATGGTTCCTATTCTTAAATACATTTGTTTTTAAATAGACCAACTGACACATAGAAAACCTGAGGCAGGAAGTACTCGAAGTAACAGAAGTAGCCTATCTAGCATAGGAGTAGTGGTTGGTCTCAGGGGCTTTTAAATATAATAAAGCTGCCTTATATTGTCTGCTGTGAGTTGAGGGTACATAATGCAAAGGGAGGAGGATCAGTGGGGCCCAACAGCCCATTTTGCCCCAGGACCATCCAGAAGACGTATCCATGCTTTTACCTGATTATTAATGGGTTTTATAGAGATGAATGACCTAACCAAATGTCATTTTCAAAGTAATCCATAAGGACAATGACTGCGGAAAAACCTTAAAATGCTCCATGTTCCCTGAAGAACAGCTGTAATGAAACATTGTTTGTAGTTATAATTGTAAGTGTATTGTAACCTTTTTATATGAGTAGTTTCAATCACTCATCCAATTACAATGTTATCCCCTGTGTTATTATTACTGGCCTATCCTAAAATGTATATATCAATAACATTCCTGTAGTTATTTTTCATTAGGGCAGACAAAAGATAACAAAAACATTCCAGCTCCTGTGAGACAGCTCCACAATCATCACATCCAAATACCTTTAGTCCCTGCTTCCCTTTGGAAATACAACCTGTTAGGACTTGAAGTCAGTTGCAATCTGCAGATTTACAGATATTCTCTGGGACTGACTTGCACCAAACAGTTGCAGCTTTTTCAATGTCGCCAAATGTTTTCATGACAAAGCCAGTGCCTGTGTGAGAGACCCTGCAGACTGGGTGGTGTCTCTACAACAAAGGGCTTCAACAAGTGTCCAAAACCCGGAACAAATGGTTGCAAAAAGAAACCCAAACATATTGAATTGTTCAGCAAATAGCCTACGCTCATCCACCATATGAACCACAAGGCACAACACGGCGCCAGTGACATACTCCAGCACATGAACAGTAACACCAGTGTAATACCCCTGCTGATGACCTCACATCCTCATTATTTGGGCAGAAAGGAGCAGCGACCTGACGTCATGACGTCGCCCTCGGTTTGTTTACTGTGTGAGCGTGGAGGGGGCGCTAACGGCACACAGCGTCCACACTGTAAACACACTGGCTGTCTCCCTCCGCACCACACATACTCACACAATGCAGCGGCGCCGCGAATACGGGCAGTGACAGCCGCTCACACCGGACACACCCGGACAGACGCTCGGTGCCGTGCTGGTTTTTTGTCCGCGACGCTGCAGCTGAAATCCGACATCAAACCATGGAGCGTCCGATAAGCAGCGGTGCTAACGCTATCCCAGCCCGCTAGCTGCCCGGCAGGCTTTGGCGTTCCAGGTGAAGACGAGCTGAGAGCCATTGCCATCTTGTTGTCTTGAAACTTGGTCCTCTTTGGTTGCGCAATTGACAGCCTCGAGTTGCGGACGTTAAAGGGAAGAGAAACGCGCGTTTAGCCTGTGTCACCCAGCTGTCTCTGTAGCTGCTGTTGTTGTTGTTAGTCGTCGCTGGAAGTGGTACCGCTAAGCTAGCCCGCTTGCTATCTGAGTAATTGTAGCTGAATGGGGTGGAGTTGCCTTTAGTGTCGCCGCACAGGCTAGAATAACATTAGGTATCGGTTGCCAGTTTGGGAAGACGGTGTCGGACAAGATGGTGTTGAGGAGCTGCTGGAAATCTCGACATAAAAACCAGTGTGGAGCCGCTCCTCGGTGGATCCGATCAGGGTTGGCAGCCCTGCTCTGGTTATGTGTGACCCAGTTTGATTTGGGCTGTGGGGCGGTGGGGGAGACCAAAAATGTGGTCCAGAAAGATGCAGAGTTTGATGTCACCTACAATGACACGGTTACAAGTGAAAACCAGACCATCTATGCTTTCAATCACACTATCTCCAGGAATAAGGTGAGTCTACATCGTCAGACAGGTTTGCTTTTCTCTAAATAACACCGAGCCATATGTTGTGAGTGTTAAATGATCTTTTCTCTTGTTGCTGGGTTTCAGACGGAGGGAGTGCGTGTGTCTGTGGATGTGCTGTCACAGGGTTTGGAGAGTCCTACCCTGTTTGTGGTACGACAGAAGCAAGCTGTGCTGTCTTTTCAAGTTCCTCTCATACTAAGAGGCCTGTGAGTATTCCCCCTGTATACCTGTTGTAATCTGGACTCATCTGGAAGGGGGATCTCTTCTTTCCAGAAGTCACGGAGATTGTGTCCTTTAGCAGGAGTCTACAAAACACCTCTGAACCTCTAGTGCTCAGATTATATTCTGTGAAGTTGGTCTCTCCTGTGTTGCCATTCAAGTCTACTATGTGTCCTATTTTCCCCTAGCACGACTTTTTCAAGTAACATGAGCAGGGTCACGTACAGTGTATGCGGAACATAAGTTGACGTGTGTCCAAGTTGGCAATTACACATTCAAATTCTGGAATTGAAATTTGATCTGCTCACAGACTGAGAAAGGAAAGGGAACCTATGAGCTACAGGTTCAGGTTCAGCCCTGTGTCGTTATATATACTGTCAGTAGTTGGAACATTTTGTCACATCGCCTAAACTGAAAAAAATCAATTGTAAGTGCTCTGTGAGGCAAGTCTCCACAACACTGAACAGGTTTGTGTATGTCCAGCTCAGATTTTATACTTTACGTATGTCCAACAACCTGCACACACACACGGATGGTACACAAAGGAATAATCCAAAGTTCCTGCTAGGGAGTGTCTGGCTGTGGCTGCTGTACTTTCATAGATAGTAAACATTTATGACTTTAGGTCATGCGATTAACCTAATGTTCCTGTTTGCTTTAGAGAGCTACGTGTCAACTTATTAACCTTGTTAGAGAAAGCTGTGTCTGTTGTTGAATCTTTTATAGATGTGGTGCAGAGAGGATTTTTCGATCTGAGATCCAGGCTTGGATTTAATCAAGGAGGTGTTGCATTTCAGGAATATCTCTTAATTGGACACTTATGAGAATTGCACTCATTATTTCTTCCCTGGATAGTTAGCATCAAGGCCAGCTGTTGATGTACTATATGGGGAAGAAACTGCAAAGTCTACAGATTGTACCTCGATGCTTGTGTTGAACACGGCTTTTGTAACCTGAGTTAACCAGGTGGGATTTCATAACAGGTTAGAAGTTCAGCTCTTTATTAGACATTGGCCAACAGCCCATCTGGGAAGTGATCTGTGTTTCTCACACTCCGCAGTAGTCTCGGTGGTTTTGTAACACCAGAACAACCCAGCCGTAGTGTTGCCTTTGCAGTCACATGGTCAGGCATGTTTGAGTTAATGAACCTTGGAATTTCACTTCCCCCTTTGAGATCCGTCAGTGCAGATGTGACGAGACCAACTTATTTTAAACAAGTTTACGTCAAAATAATCAGAGCAGAGTTTCACGCAGCCTCATGCTGTCACATGCTCTCTGTAACTGAATCCACTTCCATGTTTTCAGCCATGTGTGTGCATGTAGCAGCATATTCTAGAGCTGGGGTCTTTATTGATTTTGTGTAGATATTATTGAAGAGGCAATATTTAGTCAGGTCATCTGATCCTGAATCAGCAGTCCTTGGGAATGTAGTACACTCCTATTACATTAACGAATCGATTTTCCCTCATCATGTAACAAGTCCATCTTTTTGCTTCTTACGATCATCCATTACTTCATTTAAAGTGTCTAACTATTCCGTGAAATGGAAAGGAGATTTCTACTGAAATAGTAGATGTAATAATGTATGTTAAATGAAAATTTAAGGTCACGTTAATGGCAAAACCTTTTAGAATGGGATATTGAGCTCTCTTGTTCTTTCTTTCTTTCTCTGTTTGTCAACATTTCCCTCTCTCTCTTCTCTCTCTGCTCTCTCTCTCTCTCTCTCTCTCTCTCTCTCTCTCTCTCTCTCTCTTCTCCTCTCTCTCTCTCTCTCTCTCTCCTCTCTCTCCTCTCTCCGTCTCCCCTCTCTCTCTCTCTTCTCTCTCTAGCTACCAGAGGAAGTACCCTTACAATCATGTGGGCCGGACATTGTGCCAGCCTCCGACCCGGGCCGCCTCCGAGACCCAGTACTTCTTTGTGGATGTGTCTACCCTGTCCAGCACGGGTACAAACTACCAGCTCAGGGTCAGCCGTGTTGAAAGCTTCACCCTGCAGTGAGTGGTGTCTGATATAATCACACAAACACACTGTGCCGTAGTAACGGCCTGAATTCTCACCTGAAGGCATTTGCCATCAGGTGGGGTTCTGTGACAACTAACATGTCACTTCTTACTGGTATGTCTGACATCTTATTTTTACCTTTGTTACAGGACAGACAAGAAGTTCAGCTTTACGGCGTCACCATCCCAACCTCAGGTATACAGCTTCATGTGACACTAAGTGCTACTTTACAACAATAAGGATGTTTACTGTGTAGATGGCAGGCGGTGCAGATGACGAGAAACATGAGAAAAGCTGAGGATAGTACATGTGAAACAGGATGGAAGAAATTTCTGATTTTATGAAACGATGTAGTGTGCTCGTTTCCCGGACGAGTTCTGCTTTTCAACACATTAAGAAAAGAGAACAAACATGAGCTATATTTATGACCTTTTGTAGCACCTCTCAGATAAATCAGCTCACCCAGTACAGTTTATCTGCTTTTGTCTAATAAAGTGGTTTGTTAGCATGTTATCGAAGTTGTCACATCCTCCTACATACAGTATATTAGAAAAACAGGAAACAGGAAACAGTGTTTTCTAATAACCTCTAATGTGTCCCTCCCTGACTCGTCATCTTTTGTTCACCTCTTTCTCTTACCCTTTCTCTCAGTACTTCAAGTATGTCTTCCCGGATGGCGTGGACACTGTGATAGTGAAAGTCAACTCAGACATGACCTTTCCCTGCTCCGTTATGTCCGTCCAAGACATTCAGGTACAAAAGTGCTCCCCTTCCCCTCAAACCAGACAACTCCTGTCCTCAAGTGGCCCCTGGCGTTGTGTCAGCATGCAGTACCACTCTTGGGCCACATGAGGGCATAATTGAGTTCACTGCAACAGTATCAGTGCATGCCGATTTTCTGAGATTTAACTGAGATTGTACTCTGCTTTATTCTTCCTTTTTCCAACGCTTGTGTTCTTATGTTTCTCTCTCTCTCTCTCTCTTTCTTTTCAGTGCCCCGTCTATGACCTTGACAACAACGTGGCTTTCATTGGGATGTACCAGACTATGACCAAAAAAGGCGCAATCACAGTGCAGGTAGTGTTTGACACACATGGTGCTGAAATCCAAATCATACTGCAAACCTCTGTGGTCAAACCTAGAGCATACACCCGTCCATTACCACACAAACAGAGTCTCCTCGTGTCTCGTCCTGTCATCTAGAGAAAAGATTTCCCCAGCAACAGTTTCTACGTGGTGGTAGTGGTAAAAACAGAGGACGAGGCGTGCGGCGGTCCGCTGCGCTTCTACCCTCTCCGTCCTGATGAGCTGATCGACGCTGGCAACCGCACCAAGGTCCTGGATGTGATAGTCACCCCTGCTATCAACTGTAAGTCAGTTTTCAGACTGCTGTCCACCTTACAACTTGTTCCCAGCTGGACTGAAAAGCTTTAAAATGTCATTGTGTCACTGCAGTACAAGATTATTTGGGGTATGTCAGCAAAAAATACCAACTGGGGGAAAACAAGTGTCTTTCCAGGAGCAATGTTTTGAGTGAATACAAAAGTAATATATAAAAGTTACATTATGTTCTCCAGAACTGGAAAAGTTTTGCCTTTATGTAAAAGGTTCAGGCTGCATATTGTATAGGTAATGATGCTGAATCATTTCATTATGCAGTGCAGTCAAGGTCATGCAGTATAAGTGTGTGAATAGGCTTACAGTAAATATATCTGTATTCACACCCTGCAGCGGAGGTGTATGTGATGGGCATGCTGTTCTGTCTGGGTATCTTCCTCTCTTTCTACCTGCTCACCTTGCTGGTGGCCTGTGTGGAGAACAAGCGGTAAGTTTTTTTTCTCTGCAACCAAAACAACAGTGAGGAACTGCATCCACTTCATATACACATGTTCTGTGAATCTGATAAGATGTATAAATATGTTTTTATGTCTCATTACAGTTGTTAAAGCCTCAGATTTTATTAACTTTAATTGGGTTTTGTTTGGTCAAATTGGGTTTAAGGCAAAAAAAAAAGGTAATTACAATGTTAAAATGTATATACATTATTGGTCCCAGTGCAACTTAAGAGTTTGGTTCTCTAATCAATGAATGTAGATTTATGCATCACAAGGAGAACACTACACTGAATACAAATGATTTGAATTTGCATGTTTTCCTCTGTTTCTGCAGAATGAAGAAGAAGAGAGAGGTGTTTCAGAATCCTGCTGACATGTCGCCTGCTGAGACAGGTAACCCAGCAACTAGCTATGATGGGCTGGCCCATTAGGGGCACGTTAGAGGGTGTGTGGAGCGTACCATTTTCCTAAAGTCAGTAACCTGTACTGTAGAGTAGATGCCTTGATATATTTTTGTTGTTAAACTACTTTAACATGCAGTATAATAATCCTTTAACTCTTCAGCTTTTAATGTAGAATTGAACATGTCTGTGTACTGAATGTGTTTCTTTTCACTCTCTCTCCCTCATGCTAATGTGTGGTTCAGCCTCCCTGCTTGGGAAGAACGGAGATGGTATAACGACAGTTACTCCTATTTTGCACTTACTGCCCTTTCTCACACAGTGTTGCTTGTCTGCAGATGCTTCTCTGCATGCATTAGCTCACGTACTCTAACTGTCTTGCCATATAAAAAGCATTCATAGAAAGGAAGTTGCAATTGACTTAAGTGCTTTATGGATTGTGTAGGAACATAAACATGGCACAAACTATTTATTTATTCAACTTTTATGGCTTACATCACAGAGATACAGATGCACCTGGGTACTTGTTAGATACAGCTCGTATTTTGCTTGTTTTTGTCACGGTGGTATCCTTCTCCCCTTCCTCAACACTACTTGTTGGCTGAAGAAACACACAAGTATATTAAATTATAGTCAACAATGCTAACGGCATGATAGACCAACGACCCAGGAGATAATCACTGAGATAAATAAGTACACTGCTGATGTGGTTCTTGAGCTCCAGACTACTTCTCAGTGTGTATCTGTATCCACACTGCAGTGTACCCTGACATGATTTGATTTTAAACTGCAGCCTGCTTACAGTTTTTAAGCAATCCACTCTCACTGCACCACTGTCAACATTCAGCCTCTGCACCATTCCCTACTCACGGTTTCACCCATTCACTAAAGCTGTTATTACAAACGTCAGGCATCAGTTTTCTAACCGGATCCCTGCATGTGTTGTTACCGCTCTCACCTCTCTGTGTTCATGTACTAACAATTTCAGCAATTTCAGTATGCAGCGTTATGATACTAACCAGTGCTGGTTGTTTATATATGTGCATTTTGTTTACATATACTCAGCTGGGAGTTTTACTTGTGTGTGTGTGTGTGTGTGTGTGTGTGTGTGCTCCACAGGCAAGACTCCAGCCTCACCATATGAATATGGCTCCTTTGGTGAGTTTCGGACAGTTCTGGTTATGTCTTTGTTCATATGGAGATTGGATTAAATAACTGGGCTTTTTTCCCACCTCTTCTTCTCCAGCTGACAACGGCAGCACTCTCAGTTCAGAGGCCATTACTGACAGCGCCACGTCAACTGACAACAACTATAGATACCTGGGTATGGACAAACATCTGCACATACATTTTTCTTCTGGCCCACCACTGTCACTTTGTAGTGCGTCTTCCCAGCCTGGCTTGCAGCTAGCGTCCTGTGGGCAGCTCTGGTCCCTCACTGGTTTTCTGTGTGTCTTTGTTCATCAGGACAGGAGCCTTTCAAACGTCGCCCAATCCTCACTCACCTTCACCACATAGCCATCCGCATCGGTGACACACTGCCGCACAATTGGCTGAATCAGTTACAAATTACATCAAACCAATCAGCACTATGTGAATCATACATCAATGAGATTTAGATGTTGATGCCAGGAAGTGGCCAGATTCCTAATCTGATGCCGTTGAAATGAAGAGTAAAAACAACATTGATATTGCAAAGATCAAAGTACCAACAATCATTTTAATATTTCTCTTTAATATATTTGAAAATTGCAAAGAATTTCTAAAAGGGGTGGTGTGTTTGCATCATTAAAAAAAAATCGTTTAAATCCAGACGTACATCTAATTAATGAGATTGTCCCTCCAATGAAATGAAAGCCTCTTTTCTTTGTTCCGCCCTGACCTCTTCCTCTTTCCTCCCTTCCCTCCCTTCCCTCCCTCCATCAGAGCGATCGCTGGAGAGTGTTGGACGAAGCAGGCAGGAGTCTCTGAGCTCCGTGGAGGAGGATGACTACGACACGCTCGACGACATCGACTCAGACAAAAACATTGTCCGTACCAAGGTACACTTCGTCTTTCTATGTCAATACACACAGCTCGCTTTTTTTGTAAATAACAAGTCATCTTTGTTAGGACTAGTTACTAGACATGTCATGATTAATTTATTGTACGCTTCCTTCTAATAATGCTCTCTCCTTATTACAGAAATTTTTATACGTGTCTGACCTGTCTCGCAAAGACAAGAGAGTCCTCAGCAAGAAATACCAAATCTACTTCTGGTGAGCACACATGCTAATGACAAATACCACTGAAGGGTAGAATCAAAAAGAATCAACTACAACAATAAAGGAGCACAGAGTCCTTACACACATTCTGGTCTAGCTCAAATCCAATAATGGCATATACATATGCTCTGCAATTGACCTCCTATGTCCCGCCTTTTTTCGCCATGGGCTCCAATAACAGTTGAGCAAGTCTTGGTCAAACCCTCAGTCAACTTTCTCCTCGCTTGTACTTAAATATGCTATTAGCATTTTTATGTGCTAGGCTCGTATATGTTGAAAAGAACCACATTTTGAAGATGGTTGAAAGATAAAAGTGACATATATGTATGTGTGTGTATATATATATATATATATGTATATGTCCCATCTTCAAAATGGGCTTGTCTCTTCAACACAGATGAGCCTAGCACAGAGCATATCTAAGAAAAGGAAAGGAGAACGTCGACGAGGTCCTGACCGAGGCTTCCTCAACTGTTATTGGAGCACAGAGCAAAAAGGGGCGGGGCTTAGAAAGGGTCAATTACAGCATCTCCTACAGGGTTGCGTAATAGTGCATTAAAACTTGGCTAGTTAAGAATTGGGGGAGTAATAAAAATAATATTGTTATTCATTGGTTACAGAGAGATGTCATGTAATGATGCCTTAAAACAAACCTGCTATGACCAAGTCTAATGATTCTCTTCTCTCCAGGAACATTGCTACTATTGCTGTGTTCTACGCGCTGCCAGTCGTCCAGCTGGTCATCACCTATCAGACGGTACGCTGATGACACATAAACTGTGATATATAACACAATATTAAAAAAAGAAGTACTGTAAGAGTATGTGAGTATTGTTGAGAGGTATTGTAAAAATACATCAACACACTGATGTTAAACCGTATTTCTGTTCTTCAGGTGGTCAATGTTACAGGAAACCAGGACATCTGCTTCTACAACTTCTTGTGTGCCCACCCCCTGGGAGCACTCAGGTGTGTGCTTTGCATGTGTCCCAATGTATTATTACAACCGCAGTAAGGCAAACAGATTACATACCTGTGTTTTAAAGTGCTGTAATGACTGACTGTCAACTGTTGTCATACACAGCGCCTTCAATAACATCCTCAGTAACCTCGGTTACGTGATGCTGGGACTGCTCTTCCTCCTTATCGTCCTCAAAAGAGACATTGTCCACAATCGCGCCTTGGTCCGCAACGAACTCAACGCGCTGGTAAGACACATGCACGCAGACAGATTTACAGTACACGCACCTTAAGGAAACATGAGCATTAGCATCATTTGCTGTGGCGTGTTTCTGTTTCTCAGGGCTCATTAAAAAGCCTTAAAAGCTCCGCAAATAAAACCAAGGAAGTAAAACGGCAGGACTCAATAAATCGTCTCTCTTTTTTTCGCTTTGTAAATACAGCGCCTCGGGTAGCTTACTGCAGAAATAAACAGGAAGTACTGAAGGGAGAATATAGGCACATCCGGACACATACAGTACCTTTGAATATAGACTAAAATGTTTTATTTATTGAACTTAGTTGCTCAATTATTAGTTCAATATTCCTCTCTCCCACCCTCCAGGAATGTGGTATCCCAAAGCACTTTGGTCTGTTTTATGCCATGGGAACCGCTCTGATGATGGAGGGCCTGCTCAGTGCCTGCTACCACGTCTGTCCTAACTACACCAACTTCCAGTTTGGTAAGACTGCTTGTGTTCCTATCAGCTCTACTTTCTTTTAGCTTTCTGTGCAGATATATAGTATAACCAGTGCACTGCTTGTGTATATGCAGAGCTCCCACTGGGGGATAAAATTAATCAAATATAAATGTTAAAAGGTATTTACCACATAGGATATGTAATACAGTATGACCTCTGCAAAAATCTTACTTGTAATTCAGTGACAGCAATGTGCAGTGATTCTTAATCTTTCAATGTTTGAGATGATAAAAGGTAGATGTTTCCATCTTTCTTTGCAGACACCTCCTTCATGTACATGATTGCTGGACTGTGTATGCTAAAGCTGTATCAGAAGAGACACCCAGACATCAACGCGAGTGCTTACACTGCGTATGCCTGCCTGGCTGCGGTCATCTTCTTTTCTGTGCTGGGAGTGGTACGTAGACACACATACAGATAGTAAAAGACCAGGCATGGGTGATGACACTTGTTAACGTTTGTGACGGTCTGTTTGTAGGTATTTGGGAAAGGAAACACAGTCTTCTGGATCGTCTTCTCAGTGATCCACATCCTATCCACCCTCCTCCTCAGCACACAGCTGTACTATATGGGCCGGTGGAGGCTGGGTAAGAACACAGCAAGACACATTCAAAATCCCCTATATCCTATCTTTAGGTTATAATGGTTTGATATTAGTTTATTTAATCAGCTTTTTATCTGTTTGTAGAGGTCATACGTGTAAGAGAAAATGTAATTAAGATACTGGTTTATAGATTCATAACAATCACACGACACAATTTAACTGCAAACTGTACAGATTCATGTACTATAGTTTGGTGCATAGGAATAATGTCATTTGTCACCTTGACTTTTACTGTATGGGTGCTGTGGATTTGATCTTCACACTGTCTGTGTATCTGTGTCAGACTCCGGGGTCCTGCGCAGGATGATTTATATCGTCTACACTGATTGCATCAGGCAGTGCAGTGGACCTATGTACATTGTGAGTAATAACATAATAAAAAAGCGCTGTCACGGCGTAAATAATTCCCCTTTCACATTCGGAGTTTACAAGGAATCACATGTTTCCCCCTCTGCCTGACAGGATCGTATGGTTCTGCTTGTAATGGGGAACATAGTCAACTGGTCTCTGTAAGTAAACCTGCTGTTCAGTGAAGGCAGTCTAAGTTCAAATGTTCAGTGCAGGACTAAATCATGTCATCTTCCTGCTCCCTCTCTGTAGAGCTGCCTATGGCCTCATAGAGAGACCTAATGACTTTGCCTCCTACCTGTTGGCCATCGCCATCTGCAACCTGCTGCTCTACTTTGCCTTTTACATCATTATGAAGGTGTGTGTGTTTGCGTGTATTCATGTTTTTAAGAAGCATTTAGATATTTATATCTGTATAAAAGAGCGGAAAGGTTTTGTGTATCTAAAGCTTTTTTTTTTTATCCTGTGTGTGTGTGTTTAGCTGCGGAGCGGTGAGAGAATCCAGTGTTTGGCGTTGGTGTGTATTCTGTTCACGGCCGTGGTGTGGGGCTTTGCACTGTATTTCTTCTTCCAGGGTCTCAGCACCTGGCAGGTCGGTAACTCTCACACACACACACACAC